ATATATATATATATATATATATATATATGCACACAAATAGGTGTGTATCTATATTTTTTTTATAAAATCGTATGTGTTTATATTTTTTTATAAAATCGTGTTTGTATACATTTTATAAAAACGTGTTTGAATAATTTTTTATATAATACGTGTTTGAATATATTTTATAAAACCGTGTTTGTATACATTTTATAAAATGTATACAAACACGTATTATATAAAAAATTATTCAAACACGTTTTTATTAAAAAAATGTGAACAAACACGATTTTATAAAAAAATATAGATAAAATAGATGTTTGTATACATTTTTTTTTGTAAAATACGTTTTTGTATACATTTTTTATAAAAACGGATTTGTATATATTTATATACTTAATAAATACCTATTTTTATAACTAGATATTTCATATACAAAAAACTTTTTAAAAAAGTTTTTATATATAAAATATAAGATTTTTATGTGAAAATACGTTTTTTTTTGTATAAATATGATTTTATAAAGAAAAAACATATTAGAAACAATTCTTTGAGAAAAAAAGTTGTAAAAAAAACTAAATTTAGGATGAATTCATAATAAAATTTTAAAATTTGGGCAAAAGGGTAAAGTTTGGACCAAATTTGTAACAAAATTTTAAATTTGGGCAAAAAGTGTAAATTTTGGACCAAATTTGTAATAAAATTTGAAACCTGGGCCAAAAATGTAATTTTTGAAAGTTGGATGACCCGTTGACTTGGTCAAAGGGTTAAATTGAATACGATTACCGGTATTTGAGACTTAATTGAATAAAAAAAAATATAGGGACTAAATCGATTATGAGGTCAATATGTGGGGACTTTATTGCCTTATAAAGAAGTGAGAAAAAGATGTTGGAACGAGTAAAATAGGATATCTACACGACTTTATATAATAGCCTTATAAAGAATCATAAACAAACTCTAAAACTCGTAAATATGAAACATTCCTATTAGATAGCTAACTAAATAAGGTTTAAGATCATTATCAACAAACTCTCCATTGAGTCGAATCCGATCTTCAGCATAAAAAAATCTTCAAACATTAGAAGACATAAGTGGGAAAATAAGCAGTGCCAAAGTGTCTAAGGACTAAACTCTCTCAAACGGCATAGACATTAAAACGATGATAGATCAAATCGCCAAAACGCCAACAGATACGAACCTTTAAACTCAACGTAAGTACCTCGGAAGTACATTTAAAGTATTATAAATACATCAAAGACAAATATAACGATGCTAAACCGCTTGTACCAAAATGGTATTTGTGTCATAGAAATAACATTCTCCCGAATAGACTCGCAAAAATATATAAATAAATAAATGAAAACAGTATCTTCCTGAAATAAGAAATAAAAAGGAATTTAAAAGAATATGTTATTTATAATTAATTAAGGGTATATTTGGAAGATTTAAAAAAACCAGGAAAAGCTAGTCTAAGTGGTTTTTTAAAAAGTTAGTAAATAAGCTACTATTTGGCTTATCAAACATGTCACCTTAAAAACACTCAAAAAATAAACACATCAAACACAACCTAAATATGGTTGGAATAATCAATATTTGGATTATAAGCCAATAAGTAAGGTGGCTTAGAAAATAATACTGATAATGGGGTTGTTGTCAGCCAAGGAAAAATCGTTTGGGGTTGTTGAAAAAACGATTGAGCAAACAGGTATATAAATTTGATGTTTTAGTACGCTCGATCAAAAACAAAATTCAAGTGGATTAGGTGGCCTATGGGAAAGTATTTTAGATGAGATTTTGGTACAAGTCAAACACCCAACGAAAAAGATTGCCCAAGAAACCCGATCACCTCAGAAAAAGCCAAGAAACCAGATTAACTTGAAACGGCAAAAAAAACACTCGATCTTTAACGGAATAATAATTGGCAAAGAAGCTTGATCGAGCTGTAAAGGCAAAGAAACTCGAACACAAACAGAAGAACAATTGGTAGAGAAATTTGATCGACTTGTAGGTCTGCTTTAGATCTTTGAACGCTCTGATAGTGGCCAAAAACAACCGGCAAAAAACTCGATCACCGAAAACGACTAAGAAAGTCAATCACCAACGGAAGAATGATCGGCCAAGAAACTCGATCAATCCGTAGTTGTGATTTGGATCTTTGAATGATCTTATACCACTTGTTATAAAATTAACGATCTCCGATACCACTTGTTATAAAATAAATAAAGAACACCTTTACCATCCAAAAATTTCAATAAATTTTAACTTTTCAAAAACAACTCATTTCTTGCATAAAGTTTTTACAAAACCAATGTTTTAAAAGTATTATTCAAAATCAGAGTATCCCAAGATCCAATGTCATAAAAGCAGGAAGATGTGCACGATCATGCCTTCGCTTTCCCACGATCCTCTGAAGTACCTGAAACAATAAATTGAACCCGTAAGCACGAAGCCTAGTGAGTTTCCCCCAAAGTACCACCACACGACATAACAAAAATAGCATGCATACACGAGCCTTCAGCATGACTGGCCTGCCTCGCAGGCCTACAGACTATCTGGATCGCT